TTTTGTGAGGGCTTTTGCCACATTAGCCTATGGCCGGGCTTGCTGCGTCCGTCTCGGGCTTCTCAATATGGCGCTCCCCCTCTTCGGGGCTCGCCATGCCCACCTTGGGCTTCTCAATAGTCCCCCCCTTTCTCGGGGACTCATTGGGCCCACGCTGGGCTCCTCTAAAGTGCGCTCCCCCCTTCTGGGGCTCGCCATGTCCACACTAGGGCTTCCTAGCAGTGCCCCCTTTTGGGGCTTGTCATGCCCCCTCTGGGGCATCTCAAAGCTGCCCCTCTCTGGGGCTGGGGTCTACATGCCCCGCATACAACCTGGGGTCTCTGTTCCCCGCCCGCAACCCACTGGTTGTGCTCCTCGCCACCAGTTACGCCTTCACTGGCGCGCCAGCTGCGCCTTCCCCGGCCCTAGGGCACCCCACACTCTCTGGGGTCCCTATGAGGCCTCCTCCAACCCCTACAGCCTCACCCAAACCTCCGGTGTAATAACAGAGCCACACATAACCACAAGCCTCCTGGCTATAACTTAAACACATGCCCTCTGGCTATAACCGCATTGCTCCATATAACAGTGGTACTTGCTACTAGGCTCCTCTCCACATCCTCACTCCTGGAGCTGCTGGGAGAGAACTGCCAGCCTGGCCTCAGCCCTGGGCTTTATAAGGGCCAGGCCCTGCCTCCTACAGGCAGCTGGCTCCCCTTAGTTGCTCCGGCAACCCGCAGCTGCGCTCGTTACCCTGGTAACCTTCAGTTGGGCTCGTTAGGCTCTGCCAAGGCTCTCCCCCTGGCAGTTTCTCCTCTCTAGGAGCAGGCACTGAGGTGTCCTGCGACACGAGGGTATGTATAGCGTGGTTGGAAGATAAAAGAACACCCCGGGAAAAGAAAAACAAGTAGACCAAAAAATTAAGAGAGACTTTGTTTATGATTACTAAGTTCTGTTCATCCAAGTTAAGAGCTAGAGTGTAAGGGCATTATATAAGAAGAGTTACAAAGTTGATATAATAGATAAGGTTAAACAGAAAGAAAGAGACAGAGACAGCTTTTGCCTGAATGTAAAGGAAAGTTGTACGTAGTAATAAAAGATAAAAATAAAGACAAGTATTAATCGGAACCGGACTGTGTTTATGTATATCTTTGAGTATAGGCGAATATCCAGAGAAGTGGGCAAGATAATTTACCCATAATACCCGTGAACCCCTAAGAAAGACATGATAAGAATGAGTGAACGAAAAAAAGCGAGAGAGAATAGCCCTCTCAACTAGTGATATAAAAAATTAGAATAATATAATAATTATAACATGAAAGTTGGGAGTACCAACGGTTCGCGAGGTAACTATATAGGGACATGGGCATTTTAGGCACAACCACCACAAGTACCTATGCTAAAACTTGCAGCAGTTTCAAAATGAGGTAAAATGCATCCATTTTGGATGAACTAAGTGTATGGGTACTATAAACTAATTAACTCCACCATAGATTAGTACTTGTAAACACAAATGCTATCCTATGGTAGAGTTCTTTAGTGTGCAGCAGCACACATGTAGACACTGATGGGATTGGCTGGGGCCCAATGGTGCTTCAGCGTGGGCGTTGCCTGCTGGCTAGGCCTGCACTAGAGCATCCTTGTGCCCCAGCCAGCCTCTCTGCAGCACACTGAGCTGGGGGTGAGCAGCCACCCGCTGCCAGGCTAGCCCCCTGGGCCTCCGGCCAGCTAGGGAAGTTCTGCCCCGGCTCAGTGTGCTGTGGTCCTGTGCCCACAGACTACCAATACTGTCTCCTGGAAATTTGAATCAGGATATAGCCAGTGCATCTTCTATTCAAAAGCTTTCTCTTACACAGTAACAAAACATGGAAAGAGAAATTGTTTTTTTATGTTCTGATTGCATTTAAAGATAATATTTACATTTAAATAGAATATCAGGAGGTTTGTAGACAGGCTTTTGAAGCAGTCCAATTTCTGTGCTCAGCACTTTCCTGGGCACCTATACACATGCCCAACACCTGCTCCGACACGTTTTAATTAGAACCTGTTGGAGCAGACTCAATTAATTGAGCCTGCTTGATCAAGCACATTGAGCAGACTCACTTAATCGAGTCTGTTCGAGTGTTCTAATTGGAATGCTTCAGCAGGCTTAGCATCACGTGTATTCAGCATGTTTCAAAATGGTGGTGTGGGCACTTTAAAGCTTGTCAAATGAGCTTTAGTTAAAGTACCCCCACTGCCATTTTGAAGCATGGGATGCTGAATACACAAGACATTTTAATTAGAGCGGCTCCTGAGAGCCACTCTAATTAAAATGCCCCCCACCCTGGAGCATGTGTAAAGATGCCCTTATGTACTATCCTCTCTGAAAGTACTCTACTTTCCTTATGCTAAGCAGGGAGACAGTAAGCCAGGTTAGTTGGAGTTGAGGCAGAAAGCAAAACAGGGTAGCACCTTAGAAATTAACAAGTTCAGAAAACCATGAGCTTTTAGAGGCAACTGTCTTATTTCATTAGATGCTATAAAAATCTGATGAAGTATCTGCTGAAGTATCTGATGGTGAAAGTTTATGCCTCTCTGAACCACGTAGTCTCTAAAGCAGGGATAGGCAACCCCCAGCACATGTGCCAATTAGTGGCACGTGGAGACATTTTCCTTGGCATGCCAGGTGGTGTGCGAGGAAATTTGTATAAAAAATATATATATTTTTTAAGTTGCTGCTCCAGACAGCCCCCGAGGGTATCTGAGCTATTGCACCGCTTACACTGTGCCTGGTGTGCAGAAAGGCCAAGCCAGGAGCCCCCTGAGCCCTGGCATCCTGCCTCGGCCAGGCAGTGTCCCCTTGTGGGTAGGGTAGCTGTGGCCTATCCCCACGGAGCTGCACAGACAAGGCTGGGCCCTACCTTGAATGCTCCTGAGTGCCCCACCCACTCACTGCAGCCTGAGTCTGCAGAGCCTGAGGGTAGCCCCTGCTTCCTGCTTGACCCTCGCTGTCCTTCGGCTGCTGCCTTCCCAAGGGCCCAGCCAGCCAGCCTGCCCAGCCCTGGTGCTCTGTGCCCTAGTGCTGCCCCCACCCAGGTGGATGGGGCATCTGTCTGCTCGAGTCCTGGCTGGACCCTCCCTCCTAGCCCTGGGCTTGTGCTCCCCCAACTCCGGGACCATCGGGGAAGCCTGGGCCCCGGCAGCAGCTGCTGCTGGGGTGTTGTTGCCTCTGTCCACCAGACACTGCCTTAGACGGGCGGGCCTGAGCCACAGCTGGTAGTGGAGGGAGACATGGGCAGTGAGGAACTCTCCCTCTCCCTCCTTTTTTATTTTCTTTACTTTCCCTTTTTTGTTTCTTTTTCTCTCTCTCCATCTCTCCTTCTCTCTCCTTTTTTCTTTTTTCTCATCTCTTTTCTCTTTTGTCTCCTCTCTTTTTTTCTTTTTCTCTCTCCTCTCTTTTTTCTTTGATTTTT